TGTGTGTGTACCTGTGTGTGTCTGTGTGTATCTGTATGTGTGTGTATTCGTGTGTCTGTGTGGTGGGTGTGTGTGTTTGTGTCAGGTATATATATATATATATATATATATATATTTTGAATAATATTATGAAGATAGAGAGATCATTAAATTTCTTATTGATAATGCATTTCAAAAACGGGTTGGAAAAATCTTCGCAAAGGTCAAACCTATTTCAAATCACTTTTCAAATTTTTCAAACAATTCTTTAGATTTTTAAATTATTTTTTGTGATGGTGCTTCTTCTTCGATGAAGGTTTGAAACTGAATCTAAATAAATTAATAAATAATTTAAAAAAGACATTTTGAAAGTATATAAAAACATGTAATATTTATTTTGTTAAATGCTCTCCCTTTCTCTCTCTCTCTCTCTCTCTCTTTCTCTCTCTTTCTCTCTTTATGTTTTATTCATTATTTGAATTTAACCCATCACAGAAAATTCCATCAAATTTCCATGTTAAATAACCAAAAATTTGCAATAAATATTACCAACTTACTTAATTTTTTTTTAATAATTAGAAACGAATCATCAACAAAAAAACACAATTCAATTCAATCGCAAATTTCCCAGCGGTTTATCATGCAAGAAAAAATTGCTAATGATGATATCCAAGTAAGATTAGAAGGAAGATTATTTACCAAGACATGCAATTATGATACAGAGTTTGGATTCTTTAAATTTATGGGAAAAGAAATCTTTCAACGATTGGCGTGTTTGTTTGTTTAAATGGTACTTTACGAGCTTACACCTGCTAGGTGTTCTCTCGAGAAGATTTATATTCTCGCAATATTTGCAAATTTTAAAGGTTTACCAGGTTTACAATGTTTACAATTTACAATCTTCACAATTTAAAATGTTTGCCCCTTACAATGTTCACAAGTACAAATGTTCACAAATTCGAATGTTCATCACCCATAATGTTTAAATGATTTTTCAGTTACAATATTCAGAATACAACATAATTTTTTCTGATATCATGAACACGTCATAAAAATATTTGCCAACCATTGAGAACTACTAAAAAAATAACACAATGCATACACTTGAGTATATTAATCAACTGTAAACATTATAAAAAAATAAAAGCCAAAATTCATTTCAAAAATTGAAAAATTTTAATGAAAATAACACAATCATCATTTAAATGAAGTTAAAAAGAATGATGATGATAGGAAAATTAATGACTTTTGTAGCAGAGACAAGAGACAAAGACGACAATGACTTGAGACTAGTTACAACTGAATGGGATTGATGGCCCTCCTGACGGTCCCAGCCTCACGCAATGATGTATTTCAGGAAAATTAAAATTTCGCGCCATTGAAATAGAATGATAATAATGATGATGATGGGGCTATTAATTGCTGGTGATAATGCGATTGATGATAATGTTGCTGGAAGGTTAAAATTAAATTGATACAATGGAATTTTATATAAAATTTATTCTCAATAGTAAATAAAGTACTTAGTGAATTATTGAAAATAATCAACATAATTATTAATAAAAAAAGTTAACAACTGGCCTAAATTAGCCTAGCCTAGCTTAAATAGCCCAACTTTGTAATGTATTTATCCAAAGTTGGTCTTATTGATTTTTCTTCATTTATCCTAAGTTTTTTTTTTCATTTCTCAATTATTGACAATATGCTATAAATAATATCTAGAGTACCTCCTGGCCATTTCAACCTTCTCAAACGCTCAGCGGCAGATCCAAATAACCAAATAAAAGGACAATAAAGCAGACTGATAGCTCGTCCAAAAGCAATTTCATTGGGCAAAAATTGTATTTGCTACGCAGGAGATGGAGTATTTTTTATTCATTTTTTACTACTTTTTAATTTGCTTTGTGTTTTATCTACGTAATTATTTATCTTTTATGTTTTTTCAATTTGTTTTCATATTTTTTCATAATTTAATACGGTCGTTTATTTGTATGTAACCATTTTTTTCCACACAAACATACTTCTTCGTTTATTTAATTCAACTTTTTAATGGATATTTCTTTCAAAAAATCATTTTGTAACTCAAAAATACCAAGTAATTTTATTTATTTACTCACACCTACAAAGGTTCTTCCGCAAGTTAAATTGATTGAGAGTTTGCAAGTACTGGCGAACCAGTTCGACTGCTGCACCAGCACCCGTACGTTCAGCGCATTTGGTAAATTTATTGGAATGTTTACTTGTCATATTGAAAGATGGGTGAATGTGTAACTACAAAAATCATTTCCAAATACTTCTTCATTGTAAATAATAAATTTCCTGATCTATCTTACTTAAATTCAACTCATAGTATTTTTTCTGGCCATATTTTTACACATATCATAACAAAAGTTATAATATGGAAAAATGTTTCAAGAAAATGATTGAATTTGATCTGATGCGATCATGCACTACATGTACTGCTATCTATCAAAGAACGGAAGAAAATGTGTTGTTCACTAACGTACAGCCAACCATTCCAATTAAACAAAAATTTTCATTTAGTGAATTTAAAAACGCTTTCTGGTTTCATTGTAAGTTAGGACGTTTTTTAAATAACTATTCATTAGTAGTCACTACGCAGTTCGAGGCAAAAAAACTGTAATTTATTACAAAATGAAATGTTTCACGCGATTTTCTGTAAATAATACATTGAGTTGTGAGAGTTTATTGGTAATAATCAGAATGCCTAATGAGTTGTACATGCTGATTAGAAGTTCCATTGCTCGCATGTTGTACCGGGAACCCGCTTGCTTCCAGAAATGCTGATCACATAAATGAAAAAAAAAATGCAATCACTATGAGTTTATATGTTTTGCGTTCTAGCCCTGCATATGCTTGCGGTGTAGTTTTCTTGTTTCTTGTCTATAGCACGCCATCCAATGATTTATTAATTGAATAGATTCGCCAGTCAATCAATTAATTAGCCAACCGCTCGTGTAAACTCAACTGCAAACAAATTAACTCACACAACATTCATCAGCCGTCCAGCAAGACAACAGGCTATAAATTTACGAACAAACGAGTCAGTAAACATACATTAGCAAACCAAGCATTTTTTTTTAATCTTCAATTTTAAAGTAACATGACGCAATTTTTCACCAAAAAAATAAGAATAAAATAGTCAGAACACAACCTTATGACATTTTTTTACACGAAAAATGATTTCTTTTCGGTGGAACATAATTTGAAAGCACATGCGACAGACAGAGAATTCATATTTCAAAATGTTGGGATTAGTGAGAGGTCGCGAGTTACATTTAAATTTTCGTAGCAGAAGAAAAAAAATATTTTTTGTCGTATAAATTTTTTATTTGTCATTTCCAAAAAAATTTTTACAGAAAAATATGCTGCTATTTCCGCAAGATTAGAAGACTGGTGCTGAAGCCTGGTCTAATATTTCACTCTCTACATTATCATTACAATCTTTCGGTAAATTTCATTCTCATCATCTCCTTCGTCATCTCTTAATCATCGACAACATCTCAATCATTTTTATCATAATTTTCAAGAATAACACAATTAATTAACACACAAATACGCACACACACACACGCACACACACACACACACACACGTAGTGCCTGGCGTGTGACAAGTACAGATCTTCTTGCATTTGATCCGGGTCAGTTCAACAGCAGAACCAGGCGTCTTAACCATTACACCAGCCTGCCACCGAAATAAGATATTATAAGATAACAACGTCATAAGATATCAATCACCATCATAGGTAGTACCATCATCATCCGGATCGTTATTATCATAACTTCATCATTTAACGGTACTCATCATCATTACAACTACTTATGTTATTAATCAATATAATCAGCTATAATACAAGCCAGATTGTCATCATTATCAAAATCTTATCATCATTATCCGAACTTCCTCGTCATCATTATCAAAACCTCCTCGTCATCGTTATCAAAACCTCCTCGTCAGATTTTAAGCAGGGTAAGGGAGCAAAGACATAAACTTTCAGTCTGAACACAATCCTATAGAAATTAAAGTTGTAAATTTATCTCTCTCTCTTTTTTTCTCAATTTCTCTCTCTCTTTTTTTCTATTTTTTCTATCATTCTACTTTCATCTTTCAATTCTTTGTTCAGTTTTCAAAATAATACCAACTTTTCAAATTAATAAAAATAAATTAACTTAAATTTGAAGTCTCACCTCGAAGAGTTAACTAACTCTTTTTCCATTTAAATCGGCATTTAAGTTTGGACAAAAAATATTTTGAAAGCAAATTTTTGGTTCAAAAGTTTCTTCAAATTAATCAGTCACAATTGCAGACAGTGAACTAATGGATCGGTTGAGGCATGGCAATAGTTATTTGGATATATACATGTGTGTGTGTGTGTGTATGTGTGTGTGTGTGTTTAAGTGTGTGTGTGGGTGTGTACGTTATGTTTGTGTATGTTTGTATGCAGTGTGTGAGTGTGTATGTTGTATGTGTGTGTGTGTGTGGGTGTTGTGGGTGTGTGTTTATTTGTTCGTTGTCTGCATTTACTTCCCAATTTAGGCTATTTAATGCGACTCACTCCTCCGCAGACAGACAGACGGACCTAGAAAATTTGTATGCCGAAAACGCCGTGTGATAAATCAGGATAAATTTTCTTTCGTTTCAAAAAATTCTCATTTGCACAATTTTTCGCTCCGAAAATATTGACTTTTTAACGTACGAACGGCATTTATAATTATCAACATCGTCATTAATCTCATCACAATTTTCAAAACGATTATGTCACAATGAGTGTTATATGTCTTGTAGTCATCATACATCATGACATCATTAAACCATCGCCATCATTATTATTGCCAATTTGATGAAAAAAATATAAAATATCTTTTTCAGTGGCTGATTCAAGGGGTGGTAGGATTGCTCCCAGTAAAATTTCAAAATTTTTGCCCCCGTTGTCTAGATTCGTTCCTGATCTTCATCATTACTCTCATTCAATTATCATTATCAGTTTCATCATCATCTTAGTTATGCACTTCATCCACATCCTGTTTTTCTTGCTGAGTTAACATTACCACATTAACTTGACGATGGCAGACATTAATGTTGATGTAAGTGTTTTTGTATTGTGATGTTATCACATCATCACCTTCAACATCATCAACATCATGATCCACATCATCATCTCCAACATCATCAACATCATGATCCACATCATGATCCACATCATCATCTTCAACATCATGATCCACATCATCATCTTCAACATCTTCAACATCATGATCCACATCATCATCTTCAACATCTTCAACATCATGATCCACATCATCATCTCCAACATCATCAACATCATGATCCACATCATCATCTTCAACATCTTCAACATCATGATCCACATCATCATCTCCAACATCTTCAACATCATGATCCACATCATCATCTTCAACATCTTCAACATCATGATCCACATCATCATCTCCAACATCTTCAACATCATGATCCACATCATCATCTTCAACATCATCAACATCATGATCCACATCATCATCTTCAACATCATCATCTTCATCATCATTGTCGTCGTCATCGTCAGCATCATTGTCATCATCTGCGTCATCTTCAACATCTCACTAACCATCTTACTAACTCTTACAGGGAGCATATTTTCAAGAAACACGATCGGTAGAGGAGACAAAAAAATTTCGTGAAAATGTAAATAAAGTAAATCGCGTAACGCCACCGACAACAAATTTTCATGCAGATTAATAAATCCCAGCCAGTCCGCATGAATAATTACATTTCTAGACTCCACCACCATTAAATCAAGTGTCTAGAGCAGATTAACTGGACTACAGATCGCGTAATAAATAGTTTTTCTCGCGAAAAACTATTCAGATTTTGTAGAATAATTTAAATAGATAAATTGATATCGAAATATTTTATATACAAAACGTGTTTTCATCGTCCTCGTGATCTTCATCAGCAGCATCTTAACGTATGAAACGTGCTTTCATACAGTGTATATAACTTTTTGGAAACCCGTCGTTATTTTCTCTCTTAATACTCTCAGATACACAGCAACAACACACAAATACACACACACACACACACACACACATGTGCGCGCATCTGCATGCCCACCTAGCCCATGCGTGTACGCCTGAATCCATGCATCCGTGGTAAGTGTTGATCTTTTTACATCAGAAAATAACTAGATGAATTCACTTTCAAATAACTATTTAGAATAAGTTAATATTTAAACAATTACTCCACAAATGAAGCAACTCTGGATGAATTTTTAGAATTCGCCACTAATATATTTAGTTCATTTTTTACAAGGCTTATAGGTGATTGGAGAAATTTGAGACGACAACAATTAACCATGGATGGATGTGATCCGGCTCTGCTTTAATCATTGCCTCTTTTATCGGCTGTAATTGAACGGTTCACATAACTCAGAAAACATTTATGATTTCGCTTTTTTTATTCAATGAAAAAGTAGAGCAGTATTTCGTTGTTTAACATTTGCTTTAATAACATATTATTTAAAATTATTAAACACACTAATAATATACCTTCAGTAAAAGAAATTTTAAAATATACAAAAATTATGAATCAATTAATACTGTCCCGTTTAAGATCCCATAGTAAAAGACACATTTTAATGACGCAACTTATGCAAAAAACCAGATTTCTATATCTTCAGCTGTCTAACAACCACAAGAACTAATTATTAATTTAATTTGCAAATAGAATTAAACATAATCAATTCCAAACCACCATCCGTCGCTCAATAAATCTGATTATTTGCAGCTTGTTTAAACAAAACCAACAAAGAAACGCACGGTGTATGTATGTCTTGGCAAACAAATGCTCCGAGCTAGAGCCATGCATTTCCATTCAACTGTCACCATTCAGTAGCTCGCGATACTTCGGCTGTTTTGCTTTCTTGTGAGTTGAGTTGGCCGTGGGCACAAACCCATGCACCATTTTGGAGAAAGTTTATCGTGGTCGCATTAGTTTAAAAAAGTCAGTATTTGAGGTTTTTATTTATTTATTTGGCTGACTAAATGTCACTTATGTTTACGTCAATAACAAAATCAATAAAATTGAATAATAAACTCCTTTCAAAACATCACATGTAAACATTTCAAAGTAAATGTTTTATATTCTCCTTCTATTTCATTTACAGTAAATCATATGACACGTCTAAAAAATATATTCATATGCGTAGGTAATGTTAATTTTTGACAATATTACAAAACATTATAGTTCTGAACTGCTTCTTAGTTAAAATTTAATCCAACAGCACAAAAGATGCAGAGAAAACTTCCAAAAGTTTGTTGGAGGTCCTGCTTGCAAACATCTGATAGGAAGCAAGAATTTATTACAAGAGAAGCACGCAATTTTTCCAGAGGAATTCTTCAAGCAATAAAACATTCAGCTTCAAACGTTATTTATTTGATTGTAACGGAGTATATAAATTGTGAACTGTTTTTATTCAGTGATCTAAATTTGTAACAGAACATTAAAGAACAAGTTCAGAACATTAAAGTTCTGAACTGCTTCTTAGTTAAAATTTAATCCAATCATTAAGTTGAACTGGAGTTATATTTTATTATTATTAGATGCAAATATAATTTTTAAATCAAAATGTTTTTAAAAAAATAAAATGAAACCTGAAAATGTTAAGCCTTTCAAAAGCAATTATTTGAGAAAATAAACAATTTTCTAAGCAAACAACGTCTGTGAACTCAACCGATAAGAAAATTGAAGGAAAAAAAGATGAGTCAAGAAAAAAAACTCAGATCACAAAATTTATGATCTGTTTTTGTTTCGTTTTTTTTAACGAAACACCAGAGCGCTCGTAAAATGCTGAAAGAGGAGGCAGGTTTTTATTTCATGCGTTATTTTTCCAACGTTGTCCCTAGGCTGATCGAAACGGTTAATGAAATTCTATGAGTTTACTAAACCTTCAGTCTCTCCATTCCTATTCAGTGCTACGCTATTTGGATAGCTGTCGCAATAAACAAGTGTTAAAAAAAACAATTAGGGTCACTATAAATTGACGCTCCTATTAGTTTATGAACATTTTTGGGGATTAGGGAAAATTTTCTAGATACAGTCAAATGTTCACTTCTTTGCAATTGCAACATAACAGATAAAATTTTACAAAAGTTTACTGAGGATTTTAAAAAATTGTTGTAAAGTTTGAGACATCATAAATATCTACGTCTAAAGAATGTATTGCATAAAAAGTTATCGGCACCCGTTAAAAATTTTTTTAATTTTAATATTTAGAAGATAAAATTGAACCTTATTTTAATGTTTCATTCCTAGAATCATCACACATCAAACATTAGTATTAATTTAACACACTAAGATTTTTAAACATTTAAAAATTAAAATTAAAAAATCGTAAAAATGGGCATATTGCTTCGGGAAAAGGTTTTCGTTTTCAAGCCAGAAAGATAAAATCAAATCAGATAAAAAGCAAATTATAGCGAGCAGATAAATGGAGGGATTCTAATTGGAAATTTCCCACTTGCTGCCTTAACGAATTCTTTAATGGAAATAAAACATTCCGCGATATTTTTTCTATCAGTGAGAAGGCAGCAGTGTTTCATCACTGACGACTCTCGAGATTTAAAAAAAAGGTAGAAAAAAAATTAAAATATTTATTAAACTATTTCGGATTATTTAATTAATGAAAATAGTTTTAAAAAATAATAAAAATGTCAAAACAATTGAAGAAGAAACAACAGAAAATGTAACAATCTCAGTCAAAATTTAACCCAGTCAACATTATTCAATACGAAAATAAGTATACTTTTAAGTGTTTCACATCTAGTCGTACATCTAAATTATCTGAATAATAATTTTGTAATATATGAAATTAATTTTTAGAAGAAACACATAGCTTAGCACCACTAGCAAGCATTAAGCGAAAAGAACGAAATATATTAAACACTGTATAATTACTTCATAATAGTCTCCATCCCATAAATCTCGTAACATCATATCATACATCAAATGTCACACGATATCAAGTATCATTAAAAACTGTGTCACATTACAGTATCAACAGACGAAGTATATCATATCATACATCAAATGTCACATGTTATCAAATATCATTAGATACTGTATCACATTACGACATCAACAAACGAAATATCTTTCGTCGGCGCAACAAATCAATTATTATTTTTCGTACAAGATACTGGCGTGTAAAAGCTTTTAAACGCTGTCCTACTGATTAATGTCTCAGCCAACCTTGCATAATATTTGGCCTATGTGAGCAATGTATCACTGTGTAAACTCTATTTACCTTACTCAAAAGAATTAAAAATGACTAATTCTGCAATACTTTATTCTATTAATTTATTTATTTAATTCGAAAAATTATGATAAAAGAACTATCAGCAAATCATTGCTATAAGATCGGTAGAGTTGATTTTCAATAGCACAATTTTTTAGATATAGTCCCACTCTTAATAATCGCATAATAATAAGCATACGTGCATTTTCAACTATCAAATAAAATCAAATTTTGTATTTATATAGCGCCAATTATCGTTGCTTCTCATCAACTATATATATATATATATATATATATATATATATATTTATTTATCTGCGTGTGTAGAAATAGAAAAAAGATAGGAAAGAGAGTGAGAGAGAAAGAGAGTGTAAAAGAAAAAGAAAGTTAGAGACATTCTGCCAGATGAACATGCGACATAAAATAAAAAAAAATTAATAACAAGAATTTGAAAGGTGGAAGAATTTGAAACATGGAGAAATTTGAATGTGATCATCTCGGGACATACGTCTAGTTTTCATATCAGGAGCCAGGGAGGATATAATAAATTTTGCGTCTGACCATTTTAAAGCTCACCGTTAGCGCCATGTATGTCATGCTTAATATTTTCTTCTTCACCGACAGCTGCGGAAAGAAATAGCGATGGAAAATTGTAACATTTATCATGTTGTCATCGTGTTATACATGTTTCAGTTGCTTTCTGCTTGCGAAGATGACGTAAAACGTGACGTAGATGATAATGAGATGAACTGATAACATAATGACGATGTATACATATATAGATGATATATATATACAACAAGGAGCACTGACGATGATTCATTCGGAATCGAAATATGGCCTTATTTGCAGCATGAATTCGAAAAATAAGTTTATTTTGAATTTTAATAAACTAAACGTTCACCAAAAAACTTTAGTGAGAAAAATCGAAAAAACGAACTACAAACATATTAACGCCAAACATTCGGTAGAATTTATAGAATATTGTAAAAATTATGGTCTATTACCAACATATATAGATGATGATATTCGTAATGCGACTATGTTGTTGGTGTTGTAAATAAACCAATATGATTTTTTTTCATTTGTTTAAACCGCAAGTTTTTGAATGTATGACGTGAAATAATTCTATTTAAAATTTTCAGGATATGATTAAGCTGCAGCAGATATTTTATTTGATCATTTAAAATTTGAATTAAGTAATAAAAAAAACGTACCTGGTCCACATTCGATGCGCAGTCGATTTAAATTTTAATGAGAGAGGGAGAAGAAAGAAGAGAAGAGAGAGAAGGGAGAGAGAGAGAAGAGAGAGAAAGGAAGAGAGAGAAAGAGACTTTAAACGCACATCTTGCATTTAATGAATGTAACTAGAGATTTTTTGAATCGATTTTTCAAATTTTTTGATAAAATGTTTTTTTTGACCTGAAAATATATTAGTTTATTTATTTGAAAAAATTTTTTTTATTCAATTAAAACCTAGCAAACAAAATTTTTGAACTACCAAACAGAATTCACACGCCGAATTTAATTTGAATATAAGTACTTTCCTATAAGCCATAAAATAAATTAATTGCTTCCTATAGATTCCAAAATTAACAAAAATAAATGTATGAATTTGAATTTAAATGCGATGAATGAATGTATGAATGAATGAATGAACGAACGGACGGACGAACGGACAAACAAACGAATGAACGAACGAACGAATGAATGAATGTCAAATTTTCAAATTTAAAACATCAAACTCACAATTCGGATCGTCAATTGTAGTGAGGACAACCGTGAAATCAATGACGGGTCTGCTCTCGTAATCCAATCTCTGACCATGCTTCAATCGAATAACCCCGGAAAAATTATCAATTTCAAAGAAATCCTCCGGCGACCACCAATCAACCCCTTCGTTACCCTCTCCAGCGTGTTTGGGCCGCTTCTTGAAAGAAAGTGTCTCGTAATATTTTTTGTTGATGGTTATGAGATCGCCGTGTGCAGACTCTGATATGTGGACGACGTTTGTTGGTTTCACGAGGGCCGACCGCTGTTTGCGATTTGGCTGGCGGTTTGATAGTTTTTTTGGCTGTTGTATCGGCTGATGGATGGAGGCTGAATTATTGATAGATTTGCTCTTTATAATGGTTTTTTCCACTTGTTTGTTAGCAGGTGGCTTGTGAGTTTGAGTTGAAAATAATTTATGGAGTTCTTTCGCGTTCGTTCCATTTGCGTTCGTGCTATCTATCGTTCCATCGTCCTTCTGGTGATTTGATGATTTCTTTTTGGATGTTTTATCTGAATAAGTTTTTGTTGATTAGTAAAATATTTAAAAAATTTTTTATGTTGTTTGTCTAAAATTATTGTTTCAATCGAAATTAATTACATATATACATCAATTAGAGGTTTTCAAACGTGAAAATAAATGAAAATTTACACTTTCAACTGTGATTCATTCGCTAATTTTTAGAAAATTCAAATTAGTAAAATCTCTCCCCGATAAGATTGCCAAAATAATATAATAATAAAATTTCGTGATGGTTTATTGTTCTACACAGTCACTTACAAGAGAACAACAGATGAAAATGATCAACAATCTCATAGACTTTACTTTCAAACTGATTTAATGTACATAGACACGAATGTACCCGCTGTGTCACGTTTAAGCAAGTGCTTTCCATCATATAATAATACATAAAGTCTTACCATGCAAACACACTGAACAAACATACAATACACACACACATACAACACACACACATACCACATACACACGAATCTATATAATACACAACACATACATTTAACAACAACAACAACATACATTTAGTTATACACACACGTATGAAACATACATACCTCCACGCATGCATAAAAACATAGAAACACAAATACACATATAATATATATTTAAACACATGTATAGACATTGAAAAAGAAAAAGAGAAATAAAGAGAGAGAGAAAGAAAGAGACAGAGAGAGAAAAAGAAACAGAGAGAAAAGAGGGATCTTAAACATACACATTAACACACACAGAAGCACATGCAAACAGAATCACTTAAATGCAGAGCAGAATTTTCTTTGCAAACAGGCATAGGAGCTGTGTTGTTGTTGTTAGCTCCAAAGAAAAAACACCAACACTTGTCTTAATGACCGCATAGTCACATCATAAACAACAACAGCAACGACAAAGTCTAATACAATAATGCTACAACAACAACAACATTTACATTACATGTACATAAATTATGACTGATAACTAATGAAGCGTAAAATTTAACGGAATAAAGGTTAGTGTTGTATTCATGTCAAACAAACAAGTTTTTATTGAGACAAAAACACAAAAAAAAAACAGTTTTCAACGTATAGCGTAGTCCAAAATGTTCATTGCAAATAAAAAAGCACCGAGGATATGAGTTCCTTCTTCACTGAAACAGCAGAACATCTTCATTATTATAAAACGAAAATGGTATTCTAGCTCTTTTAAAAATTTCATCATAGAATTAAAACTGACAAAAAAAAAGTTAAAAACATTACTATAGAGATTGACGACCAAAGTATAAACATTAACAAATAAGACTGTAACAAATAAAATTCAAATAAAACTAAGTTACCATTAAATTTTAAACTGGTATTATTACGCTTCTTTACATTTATCCAAATTTTGCAGGTAGTTGTTTGAAAATTTGTCGTAATGTTATTGTTGATAGGTGTCGCCATAACGACGAGCATGTATTGTGTGTCGGAGAATTTGTCTGACGATTGTAAGGTACGAATTAGCGCGGGAGGTCGGCAGTTTATACCATTCATTTGCTCGTTACTCGCGTCGTGCATGTTGTTGTCGTTGCTCTGAACGCTTGTATGTCTGTTGTGGTTGTTGTTGTTGTTGTTGTCGTTGTTGTTGTTGTTGTTGTGGCTGTTGTTGCTGTTGCTATTGTTGATTCTAATGTTGTTGCGGCGGTTGTTGTGATGGTTTTTCCTTTCGACGTTGTTGTTGCTCTTACAATTGCTGTTGTATATGATGTCGTTGTAGTTATTTTCAGGCTGAAAGATTTCGAAAAAATGACTCGGTCCATCAACAATTGAATACCAATAGGCGTCCCTAACAAAATCTGAAGACCCACTGGCAACTTTTCGATTTTTGTACACGTCAGCTGTTTTACAATGCTTCATCTTGTTGAAATTGAAACTATTTTTGATAATTTTATCGCCATCTTTGTCGTCTGCTTTCACATTTTTAAAAGGAGCGTCTTTGTTTTTTGTTTCATCAGTGATCCCATTTATGCACGACGAAATGCAAAGTGGTTGGAAGGCACAAATGTTTTCCAATTCGCCGCCAGTCACAGCGTAGAGATCTGAGAGGCTCTGAACGAGGGAGAGTGCAGGCGAGTTTTCCAGGAGAGTTCCATCGTAAGAATATTCGACAAATCTGGCAACATTTTCTCCAGTAACGACATTGATTGTGATGGTTCGATCTCTTGATTTGTACCTACTGGAAGTTGTGTGTCTGAGAGTTAATTTAAATTTGCAGTCGGTGAAGTTGGATAGGTAGTTTGTCGTCACAATTGATCCGCCTGGAGTGATGTCGAATATTTTGTCACCGAGGATTTTGAATGAATTGTAACATTTGTCTCGTTCTCTGCTCTTCTGTTTTAATTCACTATTCCAGTGGTTTGAAATATTTCTAATTTTGTCATTATTAGGTTGGTGTAAAGCGTTTTGAGCAGGCATGTTGTTGTATGCATGGTTGTTTATAATTCTGTCGGTCTTCCCGAGATCAGGAATCCAGCTGGGACGATGGTTGGGGCTGTCATACGATTTGAAATTGTGGACGACGTTAGAGTTCTGGTTGTCCGCCTGATCCAGAATATTAGTAACGAGTTTGTATCCGTAACCGCGAGCGTTCAGGTTGATGACTTCGAATCCCGGCGCCACGTCATCGGCCACTTGAACTCTCAACGCAACAGCGAGGGGCCAGCAGCAACAACAAAAGCATACCGCCAACAACGACAAAATAAACGACAATTTATTGTAATTATTCTCCATTATTTAACGGATGGTGTACACAAATTACGAACGTACATCGTTGCGTACATCTGCCTCCTACATGCACAACACGGGGAAAAGCTTTCGTACACTTCATTTATACGAATTGGAAGAGCCTTCCGTGTGCACAATATATATCTTATATTATATATATATATATATATATATATATATACACACACACACGTGTTTGTATATAAGTTTCATAAATATAATATTATATTATATAGATATATGTGCGTACGTGTGTAAGCATATATGTATGTACAAATATAATTAAATATATATTGAAATTTATCAAATATCTAACATATATATATTTATATATATTTATATATAAAATATATAATCATATTTTATAAATATATATATATATATATATATATATATATTATTAAATAAAAGTATGAGTTTTACTCCTATATTCCAGTTTGGACAGCAAAATAGTGTAACGGTTAAGGCATCTGCTCCCGCTGTAGCAATGACCAGGTTCAAATGCCAAGAGATTCCAGCCCATCATATGCCTGGGTTAATGCGTATTCACATGCCTGATACTTTAGAAAATTAATTAGAAGATAATTGATAGTGAGGTTGCTTACATTAATGACAGCGTATGTGTTATATGTGTATTGTGTGTGTGAGTGTGTATATGTAGTGTGTGTTTATTTGTGTTTGTGTGGGTTGCGTTCGTGTGTTTGTGTGCGCGTGTGTGTGTATATATGTGTGTGTGTTTGTGTGTGTGTGTGTGTGTGTGTGTGCTGTGCTATGTGTCTGTGTGGTGTGTGTGCATTCTATTTTGATCTACTTCACACCGAGAAAACGTGCTAAGCAGTGTGTTAATTGCTTCTCAGAGATTTTATTAGAGGGCCAAAAATGTTCTATGAATGGAGATCTCGTGAAAATTGGCACTATATAAAGACTTAGCGCTTCATCGAGAGTGTGTGACCCTTCAAATAAGCTATAAAACATCTCGGGAGGTAGGCTTCAGGCAGATTTTTACTCGTTTCAGTGCTTATTGGTTTGATTTCAACAGTAACAGCTGAAATTGTCTGTTTAATAATTACCATTATGTAATAATATTGATGCACGTTTAGTTCCTTTTGTGTGGCTAATGCGTTTTTTCATCAAGTTTCCCAATTTTACAATTATTTTTTTAGTGTAGTACTACTGTTCAGTAATTTTTAGTTTAATTTTTTTATAAAAATTTCCATTTCATTTCATAATTATTTCGAAAGTTCTGAGTTTGAAAAATAAACTTTAAATAAACGTTCACCAGAGTGTTTTTGAATCTTGAAATTTTGCTGAAAAATTATTTAAATATATTTTTTGCTAATTTAAATATATGTAGTTTCCTTGTCAAATTTTAACATTCGTTGTTTGATGTTTCGTACAAATTTCAAGAGCTTGTCCAAAAAAATTACTTAGATTTTTGTCACTCAGTTAGAATCTTAGCCAGATTTTAATAACCACGTTATAGTTATTACCAAAGAGTTATTATATGCATATTAATTTATCTAATTATATAACTTTTAATTATAAAGTTTTTGTAAGAAAAACTTATGAAGAGTTGAATGAGTTTTAAGAAACTACTATTTCTCAGTAAAAATTGTACAAAGTTTACTACTATTGAAAGATAAAGAGAAAAAAAGCTGAAAAAACGTTAATTTTATCTTTCAAAAATAACTTAAAAGGTAAATATTCACTTATTGATTTTATGTCAAACAATTATATGAGCCGTTAATAACATCTGAAATATCATTGAGATTAAAATACAATATAAAAGAGGCAGTTAGCAATAAGCATTTTCTTCAAAAAAAATTTCAAATCAGTTGATGTACTATCAGAAATTCATTTCCAAATGAAGATCCCATAAGTCCTCATCTTCAGTGATGTTAATGGTAAAAAATGACTTTGAATCTGCACTTAATTCTAAACTTCCAATAGGAGCCGACGCGTTGGACGAAAATGGAGCAGAGGTCTCTGCTGTGGATATTTTTTCTCTCCTCTTCGAAAATATTCTTCGAAATATTCCAATCATGGATAGAAACAGAAAGAGTAGGGTTGAGCCTAAGGAGATGCCAATCGTTGCATAGTCCTGTTGGTTGGGGAAATGTCCATTTTGTATTTTGTTGTGTCTCACTTTGATTAAAAAATTATTTCAATATTTTAAAGTATTTCGAATTGCAAACCTTTTTATACATTTGAAAGATTTTTACAAGTCCTCGTTTGATTTTTACGATGTCAATAGTTTAAATAGTTTAGGAAAATTTAAAGTTTCTACGCTACATATTTTCTAAAATATTCTCCATTCAATTTGATCTATTATTTTTTTAGAGCAAATCAGAAATGAAATGTAACCTTCGTCTGGATGCGGGCAAATTTGAAATCTTGCGGTTCGCTTTTCCAATAAGTGAATCCTATAATAGAAAAGTCCCTGTTGTTGTAACAGGAATTGACGTACCTATTAGATGCAAGCATTTCACAATTCATGTGTCACATAATCTGAAATATCGTCTATACATACCTAATAGAAACATCTTTCGAGTTACTAGGTACGTAGTAAACTCCTAAAAAGATACTATCAAGTAAATTAAATTTAGAAGCCTGTGGATCGCCAACAATTGAGAGTTCTTCACAGTCAAAGTTCAAATTCTTCAGTCTTTGCAGTTTAAACTTTTTAATCCTCCCTACTACCAAAGTCAAGTTGATTGTTCCGTTATTTACTTGGGTGATTTTAATCGTCTTCACCATGTCGGCGAACTCGTGTTTGTAGCTGAAGTAGCACCAGATGGCAATTGTTTGGTTGCTGCTGGGGATAATTTTGGATTTGCATGAATCCAATGTCTTATCCCTCCTCAAACAATCAAACTTGCGACAATTTCCACTTTTGGAATCAGTCACAGTGTACGAGCCCAAATAGCGTTTCCTCTGCTGGCAGTATAAAAACGCTGCGTGCTCGTTCCAACCTTCATGTGTAAATTTAAATTAGGTAGTGATGAAAATTATTCTAATTAAAAATTAACATAATGGTATTTCGATCTCAACCACAATCAATTGGCCATCTTGCTATTTTATTTCTGAGAAGAATGCAAGATTAGTTTTGTTTCGTACTGCTGAGCTGAGCTGTGTTTGTTAATGTCATGCACTCACTTGAATTTATTTTCGGCGTACATTGCTTTTTTCTTAGTAGTATTAATGATAAAATTAGGAATTAGACTACGATTAACACATTGTTTCAAAACTCTACAACAATTTCTTGTAACATAATATAGTATAAACAGAAAATATTAGGTGCGAAGAGTTGTTTCTGTGCCACTAACACATTGTATCCCTCAAAGTAGATGAATAAACAACAGTAGTAGTAACAATAATAATAATAAAAATTAATAAATTAACTATATAAAATAATAAACTACAACAAAACGATACTGAATAAGTAAAGTTACAAATTTTCAACTACAGAATGTGCGCAAACAATCATAGACACACAAATGAATACATGTGAATGAGTTATAGTGCAGAAAACGCGGACTGACAGACAAACAGACCTGCGGCGCATATTTTGTTGGGAGGCATTTGAGGGGTGAACCTGTAATAAGCGATTCTGTGGACTCCATCGACGGTCTGCCTCGACCAGTGTAGGGCATCGGGTTGCGAGTTCTGGCATCTGATGTAAAATGGCTTGAACGCTGAGCCTTCGGCGTTCAACAGATGAAAGATAAATGCATTTTAATCAGCGCTAACGTTTATAGATGAAATTTATTTATTTTTTGGAAAACTTCAAAATGAAATATCTACAAAAAATTGTTTCCTATTTCAGTTATAAATCTAAAACACACCAAATCAATATGGATAAGTCATGGCACGTTAAAAACGGTACGCTGCTATGACGATCCAAAAAATATAACTGAACTTTAAAAACACTCCAAATTACTTAGAGACCATTTAAACCATAAAAAAAAACCTCAACCGAATAATAACCACGACAGAGTAAGGATGATGGCATGACGTCATAACAGTCATCAAACTTCATGTGGGATCTATCACACTGTATGATTCTATCGTTTCGTCGCTTCTTGTAACCGCTGAATCCATCCAGTACAGTGACCTTGAAACCTTTTTCAAAGCCTAGAGCCCTGCAGGCGAGGTCAATACTTAGGGGTGTCACGCTGTGGCCGCAAAGAAGGGAGCAATTTCGTTTGTCTGCTAGATTGGTCGATTTTTTATTCGACAATTCTCTTTCTGGTATTTTCAAGTATCAACAACAAAGACACATTACATGTGATGAGATACACGTGAATGGTATGTGATAAGATAGGATTTATTCGCCATCGAAACTAGTAACTATAACAGTAGTAGCAGGCAATATAACCATTATTCTAATAGACCACTCAGTTTAACAGCTGGTGGATCACCAGTTTTTTATTTATTAATCGTAATTAATTAGAAAAGTCCTAATAAAAGGTTATCTAATTTATTGATTTTAAATATTATTTATCTATTAATTAATAAAGAAGACTAATTTTAAAAAAAATTCTTCAAATTCATAAACCTTCACTTTTTTGCTTTCCCTTATCGCACATTTCTAAGTACCCTGAATTCGAACTGTAATGGTAACTGCTCAGTTGCAGAAACTCCGACTTGTAGATAGGAAATTTAGTTTGGATGAGATCCGGTGAGAGATTTTTCAAATCATCATCGGATTTTATTGCACTTGGGTCCGTGATTACATCTCTTTTCCAAATACTCCGATTCGTATGACGTTTATTTGAATTCTCCAGAAAATTTATCTGTCTTGAGGAATAGTTGTCAAAAAACTTCATTTTTTTCAAATAGTAAACTGCGTCAAATTCAGAGTTCAAAGTTTCATTTATTGAACTACCAAGAAATGTAAGATTCTGCTTGCTAGTCAAATAAATTTTGTCTTCCATATCTTTCAATAGGACTATATGAAATGTGAGGACTCCGTATAATGTACATGTGATTAACTTTAAATACATTTTTTTACATTATAACGATCCTAAATTAAAAATTAGAAAAATCAATTTGTATTTACACTTGAGTAATTATATAAATAATAAGGAAAAATATGAATAAATTATTTCAAAAAAAAAGATTTATATGAAGTTTAATATAAACTATTATATAGATGGTTGATTTGTAAACAATTTTCATTTATAAACAATACTCATTGTTTATAAATGGTTATTTACAAATATTTTGTTTTTTTTTGTGTGACGTTTGAGCGTTTTGGCACTTTTAACTTTAAAATTTTCTTTCAGTTAACTTTTTAAATGCCACAGAAATCAAATTAAATAATTTTATTATAACAACTAAACGTCATCAATAGCAAGAACAAATTTAAAATCGAAAAAAAATTATGTTGAAAAATCAAACAATGAATTATTATTGACTTTTTCATTGGTAACTTTAATTTTGAAGAGAAACTGTTATAATTTTGGTGGCGGAAGTGGTAAAGTTCCTGTTTTATCTGTTGCGGTGGCTGTGTTCAACTGCAAGATAGTCTTTCAATCTAATATGACTGTGTGATGTGTTGGTTTTGTACATACGTGCATGACTGCTGTGTATTTTCTAAGTAGTTAATGTCGATGTTACAACTTCAAACATACCCAAAATCTAAGAAAAACTTTCAAAGTAATTTAAAATAAAAATAAGACGATGATTAATAACAAAACTTAAACAAAGAGTAAGACATCTTCGTTAAATTTGAAAAAATACTTAGTTTAGTGAGGAAGACAATTTATTCGATGGCCTCTTAATTGGTCACATGTGCTCAGTTTGACTGAAGCATTCTTCAAATAAGTGAACGATTTACATTTCATATGTTATTCCAAATAATTAATGTCTTATCAATCTCTATATAAATAAACGTTTAAAAGGCTTAACTCGTAAAATATATTTTTCGTGATTTTTTATTGACCTGGTAGAGATCATAATATATAAAAATGCCAAAATTGAAGTATCACGTACAAAATGTTTTCAAAATTTTCAAGAGCAAGCTAGCGATACAATCAGTAGTACGTAAACTCGAGTACGTATTCGTAACTGTAGACTCGTCAACAGTTCGCGGGATTAACCTACAGAGAGTGAGGTTATTAGGGCTGCCCACAATTCCAGTTCTGCTGTTCATTTCCGTCATCATATGGCAGTTGGTTCTATACAGTAAGACGTTGAAGAGTTTTGAGGGTATGTACAACAAAGCCCTGTTTGCATACACTATGGCTGATTTAACCACGGCTATCATCAATGAGAGAGCCATATTTGCTGAGAAATATTTAAACAATAAGTAAGTCATATATTTATTTATTCCTTCATTTATTCATTGATTCATTCGTTCGTTAGCTCATTGTTTCATTCATTTGTTTATTTATTTAATGACATATTAGTTCATTTCATTACACAAATTATTTACTTGGTTTAAATTATTTTTTATAATGTTTTTTTTTCTTTCTCCTTCTTCATTTTTTTAAGTTTATACTTTCAATTTTGTTAAACATTTAATCGATTAAAAATAATTACAAACATCAGTAAACTAACTAGAAAAGCAGATAAAAAAAAGTCACTAGCAGAGTACTTTAAACTTTAACTATGACAGGATAGCCAACTTCACCGTCTACAATGGATCATGGTGCGTGGACTACAACGACGACATCAAAATTGTGACCAACAAAACAAACAATGTAGTGGACAGATTTCGCAATCTTCCTTGGCTCCCACAAACCTCAGAACTAGACGCATCGAAACGAGATAGTGGTCTGAGTGCCAATAATTCGGCCAGGTTTATTCAGCTCTTAGACTCTATTCGAGGTGGCTTTCGTGGTAGAAACTCAACCGATTGCGATGTTTACTACACTTACATGATGTTCATATACAGCGTACTCAATAAATACATTTATATATTTGCTCCGAGTTTTTATGATGTGGCTCTTTCCAAATATACATTTCTGCACGTCTATGGGTTTCTGCATATGTTGAATGTTCATGAACAAATGTCGACTTTATGCTTTCTGGCTTTCGGCAAATTTTATAGCGGAAAATTTTCTGACAGTTTTAGCGAGATATTCTTTGTTGGCAACTACAGTGCCGGTGGATCGAGCTTACAGAATGTTTTTGATCTTCGTTTAGACTTCATCGATTCTAGCAAATTTTCCGAAAATGACCCTATCGCGAATGATTTTCACACGTACGTCAAATCAATTACAAATTTTTCCGTTGAGGACGGCACGTTTGGACACTGGTTCACTGTTTGCAACAAATTCAACCAACAACTCAGTGACGTGAAAACCATAATAATTGAGAAAACTAAAGAGAACTGTTTCTATCCTGAGCAGCACCGATGCATCACGGGTTGAGTTTGTGATATTTCATTCAGTAAAATCTATTTTTACGATACAAATTTTGATGAAATGTTTATTGGTGATATTGGTGATTTATTGAAAATAATACACATTTGTCGCAGACTAATGTGCTACATACAGTCGTTTCACAATTGTATAATTAAAGTATTATTGAGATTTCTTGTCTTCGTCAACAGGTGTGATATTTTATTCATGCGCCATGTTGATTTTGGTCCCTGCGTTCCTTCTCAATTATAGAAATTCAGAAACCACAATCAGAAATCTGAAACAGTTTTCTTCGATGTTTAACAGCCAAGCTCAGAATTTGTTGGACCAAAAGGAAAAGAATGAGCAACTACTCTGTGAAATGTTACCAAAATCTGTTGTCAAAGAGTTAAAAAATGGGCCAATACCGGCTGAGACCTTTCAAGTAAATATTTGCTCTTTTGTGATTGAAATATTTCCTAACTAACCAAAATTTATTCTCCAGTCAGCAACCATCTATTTTAGCGACATCGTAGATTTTAACGAAATTGTGATGAACTGTTCGCCGATAAAAATCATCGACATACTCAACTCTTTGTATAATTTACTGGACACTATCATTGACTGCTACGATGTATACAAGGTTAATTAAATTATGAAATCTTACCACAAAATATAAATTAAATTAAAATATAATTAATATCCAAAAATGTTATGAAAATAAAGATTTAGCAGATGATGAAATATTTTCCTGATATGTAAGGTGGAGACAATTGGAAGCGTGTACATGGTTGTGAGTGGAGTTCCAGTAAGAAATGGACAGCGTCATGTTTTCGAAGTGGCTAACATGTGTCTGGATATCCTTCAAAAAATTAAGGAGCTGGATTTTGAACGAGATCATGTTAAAATCAAATTAAAAATCGGGATCAATACAGGTTGTTACGTTACTAGTAGCTAAATTGTGATGAAAATAACCGACAAATTGGTATACATTTTTTTTAATGGCATTTACATTTAATCTTTCATTTTTATTCAAACAAAATTTACAATGAACAGGTGTGTGTTTTTTTCTAGATTATTTCAATAGAATTGTCTCGTGGTTACCTACTAATTCATCTAAAACGTTCAATATTGAATTTACTTTAACCTTGTTTTCATTTCGCAAGACAGCAGCAGATAAAAAAATCTTAGATGAATGAAAATTACCATCTAAACTGTGAAAAACATTTTATGAATAAAACTTACCATCTAAAATGTGACCAGGTTCTTGCGTGGCCGGCATAGTAGGCAACAAAATGCCTAGGTACTGCCTCTTTGGTGACAGTATCAACACCGCTTCACGTATGCAGTCGACTGGAGCAGGTACATTTTGAAGATACACCTACATTTGTAGACTTTTTCAATTAAATTCTTCATTAAAAGTTAAAATATATATATAATTTGTTTTTTACTCATTGTTGTTATGTTGGTTGTTGATGTAGCCAATGTTAATGTAATTTTTGATGCTGATGTTGCAGAGGCGGACTCAAGTCATAAGTTTAAGAATTTCAACATTCATAGTCGTATATTTAGTATATTTTTTTATATTTCTAACGTAATATTTTTTAAAGCTTCAAAAGTTCATCTGTCAGAATCTACATACCTGGAATTGAGAAACTACGAACATTTCAATTTAGTAAAAAGAGGGCATGTTGAAGTTAAGGTACGTCTTTTTTTTTGTTTGTACACCCTGCGTCTGAGGGTTTGAAGTGGTTTTTTTTAAACTATTAGCAAAGAAAAAAAAAAATTTTAGCTTTTTTATGCGAACGTGGATTTAAAAAATTTGTTTTTATTTTTTCATTTGTTTCCTTAAAATTATCACCCCATTTGAAACTATTAGAGATTTAAAGAACGTCATAGTTTTTCATTCTCTTAATTTTTTGACACGTTAAGTTTTAAAATTGTTTATAAAATTTAAAAAAAAACTAAAGCATTATATTTTTTTCTACTATTCCTAGGGCAAAGGAACTATGTTGACCTACTGGCTGATGGGCAAGTTAGATATACTCGATATGTGAAAAAGAATTAGGAGGTGGCCATCAGAACAACTCCTAGCTAAGATGGACAACAAAATATTACATTTGTGTATTTGGTATATTTTGAATCAGTTTTAATGTTAGTTGTCTCTTCTACTGTATATCATGAGTTTTTTGCAACAATTCGGCGTAGTACAGTTTTAAGAGTTCATTTTAATCTTCCAAAGTTACAGAATGCTAACATGTTTTGTACATCCCCTTTGAAAAATGTAATAATTCTTAATCTAATTAATATTTTTGTCATGAAAAATGTAATAAATCTTAATCTAATTAATATTTTTGTCATGAAAAATGTAATAATTTTTAATCTAATTGACATTTTTGTCATGAGGACTGATAATATGGTAAGCCAAAATTTTCCATTTTTAAGTTCCAGTAGATTATTACAAACCAATCACTTACCTATGTTCTAATCTCATAACAAAATGGGAGTTGAAATTCTTAATATCTGTTGGCATAAATCTTCAACAAAAAAAAACCTTTTGACGATAATAACCAACTAATCTGAAGTTATAAAATAAAAAAAAATATTTTTTTCATAAAAACTCCAAACTCTGTTTAAATATAGAGAATAATAGTATGACATTTAACAATTACAATATCACCTTAACAAAATCACCTTAGCAATAGCAGACAATCATTAGCATTAACATTGGCAAACCTTTGTAAATTATATTATATATATATAACTATTTTCTCGTTACATATAACTAGATATACTTTATAACTTACATTTTAAATATATATTCATGTACATATGTACGTACATGAATATATGTAGTTGTGTTCATTTTACATATGTAAATAATCATGTACAATACATGTATACGTTCGACAATGTTAATTACGAGATGAATGAGCTATGCTGTCAGAAACTATGAAACTACGTACTGTCGCGCAATTATTTTAAACTAGGATGTGAATTATATAAACGGCTAATGAATACATTCAGGATAATAAATCTATATAATCATATCCTAACTCACATCTCTTCAACCAAAACTGTTTATTTTTTAGCGGTTAAGATTTCTTGACAACATTTATTCAATTTAACCGTTTTATTCTGTGTCACAGCCATGAAATTTGCCAATTTATGTTATTAAAATAAAATTAAATTTAACTGGATGATGGAGGCCACTACAACAGCCGCGATTACGAATCATCACATACGGCGGCACACCACAATGGGATTGTTTGCAACTTGTCGAACGCTCAGTAAGAAAATCATCAAACAGGGCTACCTTTATAAACTGCCTGACAAATCTAAGCTTGGATCCTCTCTTAGGGTTGGTGAATTTCATTTTTTAAACCGGATTACTTACTTTCTACCAGAAAGAAAGAGGTAAGGATGGTACTCAGAACTTTATATACATATAATATATATATAAATAACTAATACAACACATGCAACTATAGAGTTATATATCTATTTGTGTTGTATTGTATTGTATCAATGATTTACATATGATATAACCTTTTTAAATTGAGATTTATTCGAAATGATTTCAAATGTCTCATAAGCAAATATTTACATTGGACATACTACACGTTAATAACGTCATTTATATACATAGGTATATTAAAAAGTATATTTATTATATTTGAAACAGTATATTTCGAACAAATCTATGTGTGTGTAGTGTGTGAGTTTGTGTGTGCGTGTATGTTTGTGAGACATGGTCCATTCATCAGTATTAGTTGCAAACAATATGAAGCTATCAGCTGTTAACAAATATTAGTAAATAATGCTTTGTGTGATAGCGACTCTGTGTGTGTGTGTGTGCGTGTGTGTGTGTGCGTGTGTGTGCGTGCGTCTCTGTGTGATTAAAACACTGCGTAGGAATTTGTTGTTATCACATAAACAAATTTGTCATAAAAAAAAATCGGATTATTATCAAAATTAAATAAACATAAGTGACCAAAGTTTGACTGAAAATTAAGAAAAAATGTTTTTTTTTAAATTTAACGGGGCAAAATTAAAAAATATTACACAGTGAATCAATCAAGTTTGATAAATAAAAACCATAAACCACCCAATCTTTCAATCGATAACAAGTCCAATAGATAAAGTAAAATATCGTTTGATTAAAAAAAATGAACAACATTTTATCAAATAACATCTACAATAGATGTAACAAAATAAAATATCGTACCAATTTCGCTCCTCTTACAGAAAGTGGTAAAGAGGTGGTTCGTGTTTGGCATGTTGAACACAGAGATTCCATTCATGGATTACTACCTGTCAGAAGACGATGCGTTCAGAGGTGTCCCATCGGGAAAAATTGACCTCAGCCAGTGTCTCTATGTCCTCTCAAGTCAGAAAAAATCTCACAACTGCGAACACATATTTTCGATTGTTTTGAAAGGTAGAGTACTCTCTTTATCGCCGTCTAACAGGTCTCGTGTTGGAAAGATAGTGTTTCGTTTTAAGATTGATTGTGTAAATTTTTTCATTTAAATGCTTTAATTGCGTTTTTCATTTCGATAAATTGGATTGAACACTTTTCCATTTATTATCAGTTATATTTATTAAGATGCTAAAAAGCCAAAAACTGTAAAAACGAGCCAAATGCTTTTTTGTTAATCTTCATTCAAGTCTTTCGACAGTTCAGATTGAACGCTGAAGTTAAGATTATTTATGTCTAGCTTGCCAAATATTTAAAATAACGTTTGAATTAAAGTATTAAAAAATAATTGCCAAATTTAAATTTTTAATATAATTAATTAATTAATTTAATTAATTCATAGAACTTCCATGTTGGAATGGGTCAGTGCCTTGGAAAATAATTTATTCAGAACTGGAATAATAGACGTGAGTGCAGCAGTAGCAGATTAGCATTTTGTTGAAATTGTCTGAATAAAACTTTTTGATATTTTCGGTTTAGTGCATCGGAGGCGAGAATGACTACATGCCCAATACACTATCGAAACATAAACCAAAAAATCGCCTCCGAGTCGTCTCGTCATTCTTTCCAGCACCACATCCAGCTACGACAGAGGACCAGGTAAGCCACACTCGTACGAACCGCCCAGCGTCACTTCTATCATACTCTAATCACATCTACGTAAATACTTCAGACTTGGTAGAGGCAGATAATGAAGGAAATACTTTGCAGTCAATAGTTAACTTTTAAAAAAAATAGATCGGTCAAGGAATTGGTAATATATCGTTTTAAAGAGATTATAGTCAATTATAGAATAATATACAAACGCTAAATCAACGCTTGTTTATTGATTTTATTTTTTTCATTATTCTTTTTTACATTTATCTGGGTTTTTAATGGGTAAGAAACATAACACGAATAAAACCAACTTTTGTTATTTTTGACAATGTGTTGCTACAATTGAATTTTAAATACGATATTTTTAAAACTAAATATTTTCATTTCAGAGCTAGTATAATTTTATATCAAAGTTTTCACGACTCATGAGTAACCTTTTAAGTAACTTTTTTAACCTAACACTACTTTGTAACCTTTTAACAGCAAACAAATTTTATCTATTAATAATATTAATTGAAAACCCCTTGTAAACATCACCCAAATACGACAAATTAACATAACCATAACACTAGTTAAATTAAAACAACAGATCTGTGTTTTTAACAAAACAATTCTATGACATCATGTCCAACTCAATTCTATTTTCTCTTGTTAAAGTTAGTGAAGATACCGTTTTGAATGTTTTAACGAGTAGCGTTTTTAACGATGTATTAAAAAAATTAAATGCTTATAAGCTTGTTAAGGCATAACTTAATCATAAATTTACAATTTGTGAAAGAGTTTTAAAAAAATCATTTTTTATCAATAAATAATAAAAATTTGAAAATTTTTTTTGAGGGTAGAATGACATTTCCCAGAAATTTCTAAACATCATCGGCAAGTTTTTGAAGTAATGTCTTCAGGCTGGCCATATTGTTAATTATTATTGATTCCACGTTGTCGTTTCTTTTGCCGTATCTAGTTCATAAAATTTGAAAAATTTATTCTCGGGTAATCAGTTCATTAAAACTATAATGTAAATTTTACATATGATCTCCTCTAAAATATGAATTTGAACTGCGTTACGTGAAAATTAAGTTGTTTCAAAATTCGAATTGATCGATTGAATGTTCTAAAGTAATGAGAAGAAAGTGTATTACAGACAAAATAAATTTGATACCTAACTTGGTTATTAAAGACAGAATATATGGCCATCTTCTCAATATATTTGTCCAGCTGTTTGAGGCCCTTTTGTAAAGCAAGGGCCACAGAGGGATCAATATTTGCCCTTGACCTCACCAGGTGAACGTTTTCCTTCTCCAAACTTGAGGCGCAGTTCATTGCCAGTAGCAGGGCAGCGAGACAAACTAAAGTTGTCATGTTCTGTTGAAAGTTTTTCATTAGTATTTATGAGATTAATTTTTTTGTCAAAATTTCAAAAAACTGGATTCATTTAAATGTGTTTTTTTTTTAATTGATATATAATTATATGAATGGTGAGAGTGGGTTTAATAAAAAAGTTCATTTAAAACAAATGGAAATAATGGTAAATTAAACTTTGAAATTTACACAACATGATTTGAAAATTCAAAAGTTAGAAAGCTAGTCAACCAAACAAACTATGACAGAAATGGAATTCTTAAATTTTAATAAAACAAATTTTTGATGAAAAATATAAATCAGACGCCAAGTCTCCACGATGCCATTCATTTTATATTTTATTTTCCTGTCATAGTCACCCACAAACCAGCACACAACATCCTAACTCGATGAAATAAATAATAAAAAAACAATTTTTTTTTCTACCAAATCTTTTTTGGTTATTATCAATTCATTATTATTATATGTAGATCAGCTTTCACTTTCTTCTTGGCAGTAATAGTCTAGCTTGCTGCAACAGTTTCTGCGTCTGTCAGGTTCTGATATTTTATAGAATAATTAAAAAAATAGTAAAGAAGTCCGCAAAATTCGCCATAGATGGATGTAAATAACTATTGACAGCATTATTCCATTTCATCTCATACCTTATAAAAAACAAAAATCATGTCACCTCATGTTTGTTTGTTTGTTTGTTTGTTTGTTTGTTTGTTTGTTTGTTTGTTTGTTTGTTTGTTTGTTTGTTTGTTTGTTTGTTTGTTTGTTTGTTTGTTTGTTTGTTTGTTTGTTTGTTTGTTTGTTTGTTTGTTTGTTTGTTTGTTTGTTTGTTTGTTTGTTTGTTTGTTTGTTTGTTTGTTTGTTTGTTTGTTTGTTTGTTTGTTTGTTTGTTTGTTTGTTTGTTATGTATTCCTTTTTTTATTATTTGTTATGTATTCCTTTTTTTATTATTCATATTTACTTATTTGTGCAATAACTATGGCTTGATGTATTCACAAAGAATTTGACTGATGCGCACCTTTGTGATCCAGTGGCAGGTTGAGGTGGGCCTAGAGGAACAGACTGGCTAACGTTTTTACAGTTTTTGTCACCCACCCGTCAAATTTCAACATTTGTTAAAATTTTGCCCCTCTCCCAGTCAACGTCTTTTAGACTCTTGCCTAGTGTGATTATGAAATCTGAATCACCAATTAACGATTGGCGAAGATATGGACGAATGTCTTTATTGTTACTTTCGTTAGAAAAAAATGCTGCCATGTTATGTTACCGAAGTTGGTGATTATATTTTCATACAATTTGTTTCAACATGTTTTTGATTGAAAGATGTAACGGAGCTGAATTTTGATAAAAATTACTTATTTACTTCTCCTTCAAACTTTATTCATTTCAGTTTTTATACTAGTAACGATAAATTCTGTATCATTCCATTAGCAAATTATAAAAATAAGTATTTTTTCATTTACCTCCGTATAGAATAATATTCACATTTCATTTCTCAATAATTTTCGTTATATAAAGGAACAAATAAATTCGCTAATAAAACATTTGCAAATTAAAAGAGAGCAAGCAGATTTATTCGATTCGTCGTGCACCAAGTAAGAAACAAAAAAATGTTTTACACTTTTCAACTATTCATTTAATCATCATGTTACTACTGTCATACAGTTTCACGGCTTCAACATCTTAATTTCTTCCAATATATCTTCCAACTCTTTGATCAGTTCTGACGGAGATTTCACTTGTAGGTTCAAATCCATTCTCTTACCGTATCTTCAAACAAAAATTTTTTAGTCGTTATTTAGCTGCTAACATTTTTTCAATCTATATTTTATTCAATGAAGCATGTTTCATCTATTCAATTTGAATCTCATTTTAGTGAGTAGACCATCGAAATTAACAATCGATAACAGTTTAATGCGAAAAATTCTGACTTCAGTACAAATAAAATGAAAAACCCAACCGAAACTAAAATTGTTACAACACAATATGCATACATATCAAATGTTCTTTAAACAAATATTCCAACCTTGGTCTGTTCAGAGCGGCGGATGACCTAAAAGAACCTGAAAGCAGTTTGTCCAGTTGTTCGATGCTCTTGTATAAGTTTGGTGAAATAATGTAGGAATCTCTTTTTGCTCTTGTCTTTTCTATCGGTTTCAAATCCTCGGCTTCAAAACTTGAGACCATCCATGATGAAGAGAGAAGTATGACTACGAAGAATGTTACTCTGCTGTTGTGAGTTCTCATCTGAAATTGAAATTTTAAAAAAAATCAAAAATCATTTTAATTTGTGTACGTAGTTTAAATAAAAACAGGCAAAAAACATTTCAAAAATAAAAATTTCAGCAGAAAATGTAAAATTTTTAAAAAATACTTTCAACGTTTTTTGTTTAATTAGCTAGAAATAATTTGTTTATTTTCAATTATTAGTTTAAAACAAAAATATTTAGTGTGAGGTTATGCTTTTTCTAAAAATTTAAAATATTCACTTTTATTTGAACAAATTATGCCTTCTAATGTTTTTCCATTGACTAATTCATAACCTTTTATATTCAGTAGTCTTGTCCAAAAATGTTATAAAAAGAATTCACCATAAAAGTCTTCATTAATCAAACTGCCTGCAATTTTTTGTGAAAAAAAAAATTAAGTATTCCTGATAACTTAAAAATGGGTGAATAAATATATGAGTGATGTGTGTGTGTGTGTGTGTGTGTGTGTGTGTGTTTGAGTATACGTGTGTGTATGTGTGTGTATGCGTGTTTGTCTGTGTGCTTATTATCTTTTGTCTTATTCATTAGTTGGTAAACCACAAAAAGTTATCCATCGCGTAATAGAAATGAAATGGATAACAAAGAATCTAATTATAGGAATATATAATGGAAGATATATAAGGCTTCATGATGTTACCGTGAGTTTAGAAGTGCGTATTAACTATTTGTTCATATTAATGTTGTGTAAGATGTTAGTGTTGTTGCTGGTTTGAGAATGGCACTGTCTTAGATGAAAAATTTTTAAAATATTCTTTATTTTGGTGGTCACACAAAGATTATCGCTAATTTGTGACAGTTACTTATCATGGATTTTGTTGCCAAATAAAATTTCGTTTCGTTTCGATTGCCACTATTCGTTGATTTAGATATTGCGTGTCTAGAGAGAAATTTTTCAATCAAATTTTTTTATAGTTTCCGACATTAAAATTAGTTGTAAAAAAAAAACATCAAATAACTTTAACATCAGTTTAATTTATGTATCAGTATTCAAATCACGTTTCGAGTGACATTTCATTAAAATTTTAACAAACTTTATTAACTTTAAACAGTAATTCTCAAATATTTAATATAAATTATCAATGTTAGAGTTCGCCATCTGCTGAAGAAGTGACTTCAAATTATTCGTCAGGTCGATCGTTGCGAGGAGGTCCTGGTTCAAGCCGCCACGTTTGCCGTATCTGTTTGTTGTCGGTTCCGTATGAAGATTTAAACATTTTTTGTAATGTCATTTTGAATTATATTCATTATTATTTATTATTAATTTTATTATTTTATGTTTATTATTTTCAATTAGTTTATTTGAGTTATTTATTTATTTCATTTAATATACCATAAACAAATATATGATCCTGTATTGAAGATGGTTCTAAAAGATTGTTCATCTGTATAAGAATGAACTTTAAAGAATATATATCTTTTTCTATATCTATCTATCTATATCTATATCTATCCATATCTCACCTTAAAATAATCACAAAAGAACTGAAATTACGGTAATTTGAGTTATAGCTGAGTTATTTTCTCAATGCGTTAATGAGAAATTGAGCACAAGTATTAAACTACGATATCACGAAACATAAATATGCAGAATAAAAAAAAAATTTCTCGCCTCGGTCTGGCGTCAGACGAAGAATAAGTGGCTTTCTCCGACAGGTACCTGTCCAAACTGTCGATGGTCTCTTGTAGGGCGATTGACATCATGGGGTCGATTTTGAACCTTGACCTTAGGGCGTGCACGTTCTCAACGATTGGAGCACAATGTAGGAATGTTAGTAGGGTGGAAAGGATTATTAGTGAGGTTCCCACCGAGGTCATGTTCGGCCCTGTTCAATGAGAAGTATTGCCATGGAGTGAAATTCTAAAATTTTATCAAAAACGGAATTTTATAAAGTTTTAAGATGTGGATAATTTGTAATAAAAAAAATCTATACAAAACAATTCTAAACAAATAGACAAATAATAATTGAGAGACATTTACTTTAATGACAATGCAAAGAGTTAGAATGAAATTTCAAAAAGATCTTAATTTCTGTTTATAGATAAGAATCTTCTTCCGAATGTTGACATCGTGGTGAGACATATTTATAGCTTTCCTGTTTTCTTCCTCTTCCTATAACATTCCCACTAAGTTCTACAAACAATGACTTACGACACCCTTTTATTATTCATAATGTCATTATTTTGCCGCGTGTAACTGGAATCAACATTACCAATTCCATATCTGAAACCCATATAAATGCATATTCGTATGGACTAAAAAGTGACAAAAAATATATTATTCATTTGTTTACGTTATATTTAATTTTTCAAGTTTTCAACATATTTTATTACAGAATTACTTGTTCGTCATCGTTATTTGGAATCGAATTGAAAAAATCTAGCTCCACAAAAAAATAAAATAATAGAATCGTTTTTTCCATTTTTTTCCAATCTTTCCAAATCGTGTTACATTGTTTTTCTACTATCTTGTCACAGCCTTGAAGGAATTAATGTGTTTATTTAACAGATGAGGATGTAATTGGTTACTTAAATCAATAAACATTTTCTTTGCTTAAAGTTTGTTATTCCACTTTAATAATATAAAAATAAAATTTGGACATTTGAAAAATATATCGATAACTTTGAATTTCAGAATAGAAAAAATAAAATACACTCACGAATAATAATAATAACTTTTTATCATCAGAGATAAAATATTGAAATTGTTCAACTTATCTTAATAAATTGTTTCCTAAATACTCATTACAGATGATTGATTCCTCACCAATTGTTAAATGACTTTTAACAAGTGACATGAATGCGTCTGTTATGAGCCACGCGGATATTGTTCTTATTTCAATCCTCGCCTTCACTTTGATAATAGGTAGTATAAATGAAGAACTTCTAGCCATCTTCAGTTTATTAGTTCAATTTTTTATTGCAAATTTGAATCATGGAAAAACACATTTTTTTAAATTTGTAATCAATTTTTGGTGTTCTTAGTAGCGGGGCATGCCTCACCTGAAGCACGCATAGTTGAAGGGGGGGTAAAACTGAGAGGGATGAGTTGCGACGGCAGGCAGCCCTGTACATTTGAAAAATTTTAAACTGTGTCGGCTCCATTGTAGACTCAATATTAATTGTTACTGCTGCTCATTACGATGGATTGCTCCCGTTAGCAAGTTGCGTCATATATCAAATTTGTATATGCTCCGTGACAGAATAAAATTTTCAATAAGTTGCCACATTATCACAGAGGCATGTATGAAATTCTTGCCGGTACCTACGCCAATGTCGCCGCAGAACTCAGAAGAATTTTAAACTTCCATTAAGAACAAGCACAGAGTGTACAATGGCAATGGCACTCTTGGCTATCAACTACATAGGATCCATGGTTTGTGGTTGAAACCAGTCCGAGGCGTCGTGACTATAATAAAAAACATTCAGAAGTCCCAACCACGTCAATAAAATTTGGTACATTACAAGATAAGAAAGCACAATTGGTGGGCTGTCTGTCAACATTTATCATTTGCGTTCAACTCATAAAAAATTTATTCAAACAAGGGGTGGGTCTTCTCCGCAAGAACTTTTAGAAACCCAAGTCGACGTCTTGGTCTCGACTAAGAAGCAATGGCAAAAGTGCTGGAAAACTAGTTTCACCGATAACCAAGTGTGTGTTTATGATTTAAAGGATTTCAACTCAGAAGCATGCAGTGTACAAAAAAATCTTGTCTTAAAATCTAAAAACATTTCAGTTTTTTTTTTAATATTTCATGCAATTATAAGGGCGATTCTAGCGGTCTTTTGATTTTCGAAGAAACAGCAAAGAACTAGAAACTGGTTAGTGCTACATCGTGGGGTGCAGCTGAATGTCTCACATCTAGTCCATCAGCCTACGCGATAATTTCTTCTTACAATAAATGTCTCGATTTTCAGGCTAAACCGTGTCAATAACCAGATGGTTTAAAAAATAACTTAAAAAATTAAAAATTTGAATAATAATTTAAGTACTAAAATGATTTTTTGTTATTATTAAATGCCTGGAATTCGTTACAATTCTAAATTAAAATTTCATGGCCTACTGGGTTAGGCCTTATTTTATAAACAGCCGAACTCATCAACGGTTAAAAATCTTTTGCCAAAAAAGTTTTTAGTTTGAAACTTATAAAATTATTAATTGTTTTAATTGTATTAATAATTGCAAATGCATTTTTAAAACATGTTTTTTGTCAATAAATTGAAAAAAATCTACAACTTTTTGAAATAATGATTTATTCATGTACATTAAAATTATTTTATTCAACTGTCCTTTTCAAACAAAAAAAAGAGTTCCTATTCTTTGAAATCTGGAATTCAAGTTCTGAAAATTCAAAATTTGTTAAAAATATAAAATTTAACTCAAAATTTGTTAGAGAAAAAATTTTTAGAACAATTTTTTTATTTCCCAAAAATCAAACAAGTTACAAACACACGTGCACCTGTAATTTTCCGATCTCAGCAAGTTGAGTAGTTGAATGTTTTCTTTCAGCTCGTTCACCAACTCAGCCAGAGATTTTCCATCTTGATATAACTCGCTTCTTTTGCCAAATCTTTGTTGGTCAGGTTTTGTTAAATGATTTATAAAAAATTTTCAAAAAATTTCAATATTAATCAATTCAGCTCATAAGTGTTTTGAATAACAATTAATTATGCAAAAAAATATGATAACTTCATAAATTAAAACATTAATAAATCAATAAACTAAAAAGAAAAGTTTGTCTTAAACAATAAATAAGAATTTTTAGATTTCTTAAACGGTTAATGGAATGTTATTTGTTTTGTGTACGCAATTTCATCGTTAAAAAATCCAAAAAAATTCTTCCCAGTTTTAAAATCTTCAAAAAGTTGCTAATTATACCTCGGCCTACCATAGACCGATGACGAATGAAAAGAATCAGTCAACATCTTGTCCAGCTGGTCGATATTTTTGAACAAAGCTGGCAGCGGAAGTGGTTTCGCTTTCGACCTGACGCTGATTGGGTGGACGTCGATGTCATCCAGACTGGAATCCGACAGAGATGGTGCAACAAAGAGAAGAGCGAATATTACAACTTTGTTAATGAGGTTGCTCATCTGATTTAGTTAACAAATAAGTTCCTTTAACAATTTTTATTTATATTTTCTAATTTCATTGAGTAAATACACAACAGTATAAAACCGAGCTGAAAATTATTTAAAAAATTTATTGTAGACATCTTTAGCATTAGATTTTGGGTTAAAAACACAAAAATAATTTAAACAAAAATCAAATTTTGTTAAGAAATAAAAAACTGACTGTTAAAGTTGAGCTTGAAATAACTGCGAACGATAGGCTAACTTTACGATAGTTTATTAATTAATTATTAGAAAGATTTTTGAAAAAGCTTTTACTTTTTAAAATTTCCGACGAACTTTTGACTTAATAGTCATCAACTTTTACAAAACAAGCTGGAATGATAAGTCAACCGCAGCCTTTTATAGCTAAAGTCGGCAAGCTCCACTACGTCAACATATTAACATACATACATAATTACACATACGCATACACAGAAGCATATATATACATTAGGGATATGACAATTTTTAAAGACCCTATCCCCATGTTATTTTTTGTGGAGTTTTAATGCAAAGATCAAGAAAAATCCAATGGCAAGTGTCAAATTTAAAAAAATGTCACCCCCTTAATTAAATTTATATTATATATACATTGTACAAAATGGTTTTTTTAATCAGAAATACAAACATACAGGTTTTAGTGTTCATTTGTCAAAAGAAATTTAATGTTAATTTTTTCAATGCTTTTGCACAATAGAAGTAAATCCTGCAGAACTTTAATTGCACGTTCAGCACAAATATTTGACCTTTGAGTTGAGATTGGAGTCGGCTCAACCGACCAAAAAGTCCTTAAAGTCTTTATTGCCTTTGATCTTTGCAAACGGCTGCCAAATTATTGTAGTTATCCTGATTATAAACCTGACCAGAAAACCAGATGTCACTTCACGTGCCAGTAATAAAGTCACATGATGACTGACCCTCGGCTGACTGTCAAAATTCTGGAAGTAAAATATAAGCTAGCAAAGCATAGATTGCTCGGCTATTCTATCTTGCATTGCTTATATTTGGCAAAGTTCTGAAATTTACTTTAGGAAGCATCCTGTTTTCTTAAACTGTCTGTAACAAGTGATCAAGTGATGAAGGAAAGCCATATCATCTCTCTAAACAATTTCTTCTTCCTTCAGAGCATCTGAATCTTGAGAACCACTGTCAGAATCTTGTTTTTCTTCTTCAGTGTTAAAATGTTCTTCATCTTTACTGCTTAAATCATCCTTAGTATCTTGACTGACTCTGCTGTTTTTCATCTTCACTGTTTAAATCATCCTTAGTATCTTGACTGACTTTTTGCTTAATCAACTTTAGTTTTCTAGGATGAACTCCTTGTGTATCTTCAATTGTGGTGCAGTAGCCAGCTCTACCATTTCTTGACTTCTGAAGATTATAGAGGGCTCTATCTTTCTACATAACTATTCTCCATTTTCATCAGTTACGTTGAACAAGTTGGTAAAGTCTTACGTTCCTGGTTTTCTGCTGTCTTTTTCATACTTGTTTAGTACATTCTCAATTTTTCTTTCCACTGTAGATTTGCCTTTTTGAATTGGAAGATTCAGTTTTTTCCATAAGATTTTTACTTCTTTGATCACTATCACAACTCTCTCCTGTCTACTTTTCACATTTGCAGCCAAGCACTTAAATCTGTCCAGGATATGCTGTTCTGTTGGCATTTTGTTCATTTGATCAAGACTGTCAACAATCTTTGCATACTTTTTTGAATTCTTAGCTTTTTCAAATCTCACCAAATTTGATTCCCATAGTTTCTTATTCAAATCTAAAGGAAGACTATTTTTAGACATCTTGACTATAGTCCTGTCGAATTATAATTTGATTGTAAATTTAATTATCTACAAATAAACAAATCTTATGAGTTTAGGTTATCAAAATAAGTTTATAAAATATCAAAAGTCAGGTGATGATAACAAATATAATATATAATATGAAAGATTATGTAATAAGAATGCATACATATAGCAAATCACATCAGCAATAAACTGAAGCTGTGATACCTTAAACTGTACTGTATCTAACAATAGATAGATGGGAGAAAACGGTTTTCAGCTTAGGGGGTGAACTTTTTTGAGATTCAACACTTTCAAATGATATTTCTAGTTTTAAAATGTAATTTCTCCACTCATAATGGCATGGGAAACCAAAAATTGCCAAAAAAAATTTTTAGTCATATATCTAATATACATATATTCATACATGCACATTCACATATATAAATACGGTATAGATTTATAAACATTGTATACATGTATTATACACTATTATACATTTTGACATTATGAAAATATATGAGCGAATAATATGCATGCACTCAGTGGCTTATCTAGAAAACTTTTTAAAATATTTTGATTTTCACGGCAGAGCCGACACATTTACCAGGGCCAACATTTTGCTACTCTAGCTGACGACTGCTTTTTTATTTGCTCATCACGTCCTCTATTTTGGCTAATTTTTAAAATAAAACAATGTTGTTTTTCGTTAAAACACTGAGTCTTACTGACTATTATTGAAAATATTGCAAGCAACTGATGGCACATCCCCGCGGTTCTCTCTACATCCGCCGCTACAATATACAATATGTAAGGATATCGGCATAGACATATATAATATATATAATACATGTTTTTCATGCATTTGTGTATATATATATATATATATATATATTTTAGGCCGTATATTTATATATATATATATATATATATATATATATATACATATATATATATATATATATATATATATATATATATATTGTCAGCCCTATATGCACACAAACAACTGTTTTAACAAAGTATAGTATCTGGAGTATCCATCCACTCTTCGAACGACGAGAGTCCGGCAAAAAATATTATGACACTGGAGATGATTGAGATCGAAGTCGGAATAATGAGATGCATATTAGGCGCGCGTTGGTGATTATCATTTCTATGGCTTGCTTTCGAGGAAATGTTTAAATAACGTCTAAAATATGTTGACCAAATTTGTGTGTGTGTGTGTATGTGTGTGCGTGTGTGTGTGTGTAAATTTTTGGAGTGTTTTTCATCCTTTCAATGATTACTTTTTTGTTCATTAGGATGATGTATGTTTTTATAGAAAAAAATTACAGTAAATTACCATACTGCAATTTGCATTTGCAAATCGGGACAATTATATTTCTATATTTGGATACTATCAATTAGTTTTAATTTGATTCTCAATGCTATCAACAACAATACCTCCACCAAGTGAACACGCATGAATCCACAAGTCACACAATTTGCATGGGATACTTTGTAGCATAGACATCTCGATGTAATAGCCTGTTATTTCATCGAGACATCTATGGGTTGTAGGTGGAGGTCTCATTAACCATAACAATTATATCAGCTCGCAGTCCATCTCTACCGTTATATAATGACCACAAATTTAGTTAACAAATTGTTTTATTAAATTTTTTTTCTAAATTGTTTATTCCAATACCTGATAAGAGCAAAATGTAAATTATGTTGTTTAACTTCCGTAATGTTAACACACAAAATGTACAGGCACAAATTCTGAAAAGTTCTTTACTTATTATTTTTATAACCACAAAACGTTGGTTTTGGTAACAGATACTCAATGGAAAGCAGCACTTGTACTATAGCTGTATGGAAGAAAGTGAAAATGGGCAGGATGATCTGACGATGTTGGACACGTCCAGAGCTGGCAAAGTTGGTACACTTTTAAGAAGAAAAATTTTGAAATAATTTCTTGATTTTATTTAGATGAATAAAAACGATTATATGATTTTAAATGCAAAACATTATTCTCACTTGAAACTTGACGATTGTGGTTGACAGTCCTGAATCGAAGAAGGTACGGATTGAAATAATTTCTGAATCCCGTAAGTTCTAAGTGGGCTTGAGGAGGAGTAGGTGAATGTTTTGGTCGGAGACATTTGGATTAGAAGACTGTTCTTGCAAGAGAGTGAAAATTTTTGCGAACTTACAAATTCTGGACCTGTGTGTTTTTATTTTTTTTTTAGAAAATTATTTGTAAAAAGTTATTGATATAATATTCTATTTTCAGTTACATAAACTCGTGGAGTTATTTCAAACGCATAAATTCACCATGCTGAAAATTCTGTAATTTCAAATTTAATTTCAATATTCTCTGTAGAGCCATCCATACTTTTCTTACCTCTCGTTCAGAGCAGAGGTGGGCAAACTAAGGCCCGCGGGCCGCATGCGGCCTGTGAAGCCATTTTAAATAAGGTCATTAGCCAGGCATTATGATTAAAAAAGGAGACACAAATCTTAAAAAAATTCTTCCCCGGGTCGAACAAATTTGCTATTTAAATACATATGCAGCCATTCAAAGGTAAAATAGTTCTCAATGCGGCCCTTACAGCAAAAAGTTTGCCCACCCCTGGTTTGGAGCCATACTTATTACAATACTCGCCTTTATTAATTTTCTTCGGTGCCCTTGGAGGCAAACTGCACTTTGCACTGTTCAACACACTCGCCTCACATGCTACTTTGTCACTAGTCAAACTCTATGGAAATATTATAAATATAGTTGATATGATTTCATTATCTGAGTTTTTGTAGTAAAATTGTCAGAACAACAAAAAATTATTTAATTTTCGTTTGTATAAAACTAAAAGCAGAGATTATCATCTAAAGTTTTCTTTCAAGTCCTTGTCAAAAATTAAATTCTCGAAATATTTGTCAATTTAAAGATTGGTCAAATTACTCGTTTTCAGGTACATTATGTATCATTGATATTTTAGTGCAAGTACTGCCAGGACAACCTTTTCAGTATGTTGTACAAGTCCCTTGTAACCCATCTTCAACAACCACGTAGCAGTTTCTTTTGAGTTGAAGTAACAAGCGATGAACATGCATCTGATCAGTTCTCGGCTGACATTCGGAAACAACGTTGCCAGTAAGCAGTCTGCCTGCTCCTCTGGTTCCGTCAGCTTCAACTTCAAATGTGTGTGTTTGTGTGTGTGTGTTTGTGTTTGTGTATTTGTGTGTGTGTGTGTACATGCGCGCTGTTTAAATTTTTATAAAAACTTAATAGCCGGAAAAATTCTAACATTAGTATCAAAAAGCTGTTTGGCAAGTTTCAATCTCGGGTCTTCCAGGGTTGAATATTTTAAATGGACATTCGTGAAATAACTAAAGAAGAAATGAAAATTTTTTGAAGTGGAACATTTGCTTCAAACTCTGAATGCGCAAATCATTCTTATTGGAATAAAAATGTTAAAAAAGAACAAACTATTTGTTATCTCTTTCAGAAAACATCATTTCCCACTCCTTTGGCAGCAGTGTCAATTTCTCAAGTGTCAGTGTGTTTACGCACTGATCTGTATAGTAATGTTATGTACCTACTAGTTTAACGTAAGAAAACTTTTAAATGTTACTAAATTTCTAACTTTTTTATGCTTAAATGAATTTGTATGTGTTGTGTGTGTCTGTTTTTTGCTGTGTGTAGCTATCCTTCTAACATAAAATATTTTATAATAAGGATAGACTTGGAAAATTAATAGATGCAAAAACGTCACAGTATGATATTAGCCAACCTGTCGTTGTATTTCCAACTCTGTCGAGTCAAGAAATAAAAGTGTTTATAAATTTTATAAATCGGCATGTATGAAAGACGGTTTTGATAAAACTTTTATGTATTTAGAAGAAATGCAAGCCTAACAAGATAAAAAAAATACAAATCCCCACACACAAATTCACGGAGAAAGAGAGAAAGAAAAAGAGAAAGAGACAAACACGTACGCACACATACAAAAAATACTGACACATACAAAATCGTAAACCCCAAACACATACACGCATACACACACAGTGACAAAAACAAAAACGCATACACACACACACAGTTGTTGCAAACTTCAATCCATCTCCGGCATTCGATCCTGTTAATGAAGGTGTCAACATGGGTAGTTGTACAGCGGAGTTGAAGAACTCGCTTCTTGTTCTAGTTGTATCGGCCATAACACGCAGTTCTGATTTTAAATCGGCAAAAATTGTTCTTATATTTATTTATCAGAAGTATCAAAGACACACACCACAGTACATGTGAAAGATGGGATAACTTGGCATTCGAATCCAGTCACTGCGACAATAGAGCTAGGTGCATTAACCATTGGAATATCTTTTTTATATAATATTTTTATTCAGTTACTTAATTTGGGCAAGTTTTAAAAAAAGACTGTTTTGGAATTGGAGTGATAATTTTTTTACACAAACTGCTGATAAAGATTAAAGGTAACTAACCGCTGTATTGTTTGTATTCTTGCTCAGCAGAGTTCTGTAAAGAAAGTTCTTAGTTAAATATTAATTATTTTGGAAACAATCAATAATCTGATTCTTTTATGATTCTAAATTTATGCAATTCATTTTTTGACGTTTTTAATTTTGAATAATCTCCATGCTAACAACGTCAGTTCAAATTTTAAAAGTCCGATAATCATAATTTTTAACATGAAGAAATACAATAAAGTAAAAAATTTTCAATAAAATAATAAACGAAAATTTATTTTTCAAAACAAATACAACTAAGTTGGATTAATTGCTCTTAGATTTTTGACCAAAGGATAGCGTCAAAAGATATTTTCCAACATACATCACGATTGGAATAGCCCATGTTGTAGAGATGGTACCAGACCTCATTGACTTTGAATCCGCAGGCCACAAAAAGACATCGGATGATGGTCTTGCTGACAGATGGATAGGAAAATCTGATCAGCTGTTCGTCATGCGTCTGCTCATGGGTGAGCTTTACCCGCTGTTTTAGTTTCAGTTTCAGTTTAATTAAGTTTTAGATAGTTTTATTATGGTGTATTTTATTTAAATATTCAATTAAAATTATTTTATTTTAAATTGATAAATGACCTTGATATTGATTGCTTTTTTCAGTAGAAAAAATCGTGGGTCGTAACTCGTTGAGAAATCTTTCGCGACGTGGTGGAAATAACTAGAAGCGTTTCAATTTAGATATAACTTTTAAAGTTTGTAAAGAAAAAGAGAAAAAGAGAGAGAGAGAGAGAACCTAAAAAAAACTAGTAGCTGTATGAGGAAGAGAGGGCAAGTGAAAAGAAGGAGAGAAAAAAGAAATTAAAAAGAGAGAGAAAGAGACGAAAAGATTGATCGACAGAGAGAAACAAATAAGAGACAAACAGAGATAAGCAGATAGACAAAGAAGCAGAAAAAAACTGCGATAAAAATAAAATAGAGAAAGAGAGAGAGAGAAAGAGAGAGAGAGAGAGAGATAACTAACTGGCGTCCTTGGACGGCATCATACTTCATAACCCATCCAGCTGGCAGTGTGAGGTATTTCATCAACTTATCAATATTTATTACGGTTGGGGGGCTCATTAATTCACTTTGTTCTTTTGTCGATTTGGTTATATGGACTTGAAAAATTATTTTAAAAAAAGTATTTTCAACGGTTTAAAAATAATGAATTAAAAAGATATTAAGTATTGGGTTTTCAATTGTTTCTAAAGAAAATCTCCATTTTAATTAAACGAAACTTTAACCAGTTTTAAGAAAAAATAACATTTACATTTGAAAAAATAATTTAACTAAAATATTTGGCAGATATAAATAAAATGTCTAAAATGTCATAACTCAGTGCGTTTAAAGCATCACACACGCTGCAACTGACATGTAAGGATAGAGTCAGGCGCTTTAACCACCTCACAATTTTAAAGTCCGCATAAGATGACAGACGACACGACAAAAAGTAAAAAACACAATAGAATATTGTATAAATGTGAAAGCAAAAACATTTAAAACCGAAATTGTTATAACAAATGCGATTAAATGAATTTGCCCACCTTTTTGTTCTACGAAACTTCTAGTGAAATGTAAATGGCGAAAATATTTATTAAACAAATAATAGATAATATAGAAAAACATTATTTTTTTACCATGCTACTGTAAGAGTTCAAATTGTTCAATGTTTCAAAAAAAGGTGTCAGTTTTTGAAAAAGGTATTGGACATTGATACAACAGCAGCTCAATAACTGGCATTTATGAAATTTGGTTGGCGAATTAGCTCAGTCTGTAAAAGTGTCATTTCTCGAGTTGTCATTGCATGATGACCAGGTTCGAATTCTGTCTGTGCGAAGCACATAAAACATTTTATGCCATGAGTGTATGGTGCAGTGCTTGCACGTTCATAAAAATAATGTAATTGTTAATACATTGCGTTGCTTGGGTGTTGGGAGCACGAAAGTTAAAGTAAAGTCACACTAAGTTAAGCACGGAATTTATACCATGATAAATTTCTGTAGGCCGATCCGCATATTTCAGAGATGCAAAATGATTAAAAACTAACTTGGAAGAAGTTTGGATGTTTTTTCCTTTATTTGCCTTTTTTCTTTTTTTCGGTTTTGACGACTTATTTTGGCTTCCACAAGCAAAATCACTAGCTAGTAAAAAATGAATTGATCATTTTTAATTTTTAAAATTTTCCATTTTCATTAAATTCAGTTTAAATTCATTTAATTTTATTAAAAATGTATTGATTAGGCTGTAAACGTGTTAAAACAAGATTTTTATTTACAAAATGTTTTGTAAAATAATACAATTAAAATATTTTTAGGTAAATAGGCTTAATAAATAGTTATTTAGCTTAATACACTGATAATGTTTATGCTTAAAATTGTTTAAAATTAAATTGTTAAGTACTATTTCCGTAGGCAGGCACTCTGTTTTTAGCTATCAAGACGGCGTTGGCAAAAGACTGAAATTTTTTTAAATTATTTTTTGTCAATGAAGTCACAAACAGTTTGTCAAAAAAGTTATTGAATGTTAAAAATGTGTGTTTGTGTGTGTGAGTGTGTGTGGTGTGTGTGTGTGGTGTGGTGTGGTGTGTGTGTGTGTGTCCCAAATACATTATAAAGCTCGAAGTTCATACTGGTGCACATCAAAATTTATTCGAAACTGACATTAAATTGGAGTCAAAAAACTTTCAACCGTTACTATTGTGAACGAAAAAATGTCACAATGATGAGCTAAAAAAATAAAACTAAACATTAAAAGAAGGTCAAAACAAATTTTAAAAAACTCGACCGAATATGGCTCAGACACGTCAAATTTTACTGAATGAGAGTGGGACTTGTCCAATTTGACGAAAAATGAATTTCCACAAACCCTCAGCAATGACAAACCAAACGCAAACCTCATTGGCGTTATAGTGCATCTTCCGCAAACATTTCGAAGTGAGGTAGACGTTGAAGTTGTTAGCTATGAAGACGGAGCTAATGAACTTGCTGTCGGCAGACGAGTACATGGTCTGGATGACCTTCTCGTCGTCCTGTTCATTGTGGTTCATCTCGGTAGATTCCTTTTGGGATAAGATTTTTCATCATATAGTTTAGTTGTTCTATGAAGTTTATTTAGTTGTTCAATCAGTCAGTCAATCATTCATTCCTTCCTTCATTCATTCATTCATTCTTTCATTCATTTACTCATTCACTCACTCACAATCATTCATTCATTCATTCATTCATTTGTTCGTTCGTTCATTCATTCATTCATTCGTTCATTCATTCACTCACTCACCGATCCGATGTATTTCCTCCACAGTTTGCACCTCGGATCTGCCCACGTGGTTTCCTTGCGGGCATGGTTGATGAAATAGCTGTTGAAATTTTCGCATTTCCATCATTTAGCACTGCGTTATAAGCAGTTCTTAATTTACCCAATAGATTTTTAATAAAAAGTAATTTAAATTCTAGTATTGGTACATTCATCGCAATAGATAATCCACTTCACTTAAGAGGTGAATGTTCTTTAAATAAACTTTGGTGACTCGTTTGAATTTTGTTTTCTTTTAAACTTGTTTTGTGTTGAGTTTATTTATTTAATTTTAAAGGTTACTTTCATTTGTGATCTTGAGAATTATTATAACAATAACTACTAACAATAGCTACACTAATTACATATGACATCGCTAGTGGAATAACGCACCAGCAAACCGTTACTTCACCGTGCATTTGAACAAGATCTATGCAACACCATGCAACATAGCGCCTTTACTGGTTGAGACAATTTTTCATGTAGTAAGATTAAATAGTTTATTTAATTCAACTTATTCCATAATTGCATAATATATTTTTATATGTATATATATATATATATATTAGAAATTGTTACCAATCAACAAATTTAATAGTAATTAAATCTAATTTGTTTAATGAAGTAAAATGACGAACTATTTTTTGTGTACTTTATCAAACTTCATCTGCCAAGTCGCAGGCAACTTTAGAAAGGCGGAAAACTTCTTCAAACATTTTTTATCGGCACTTGAATGGCTGATGTGGCGCGTATGGGTGAATTGATGAAAAATATTGTTGGGATAATTAGTTTAATTGTATTTTTATTTTCTAAAACTAACGGCTTAAAATTACAAAATATTTTTTCTTGATACTTTTTAAGTCTACACGACATAATTTTTCATCTCCGTTGCAATAGATTTCATTTTAAAAAATGTTGTCAATAATTACAAACATGTTCATACATCCCCACTACATACGATGATAATAATGGTAGTATAATAATAATATTTTATAATATAATATTAAGATGATGAACATATGATGATAAGTGTTAAACCGTGTCTGGTTTTATGGGTAATGAATGTTCATCGCTTGCCTCACTTGAACATGTTTGATGTTCAAATGAACTTTATAAAATTTGTTTTGTGTCTGTTGTAACTGACATTTAGCTCAATTATAATGTTAAAATTATTATTAGTGGATCGTATATTTGTAGCAAATAAGTGAACATGTTGAAAAAAGTAAAGACAAAATCCTCTCGACAAGTGACAGCGCCTGATATTACACTGACTGTTTTCGATTTTCTTCTTTTGAATCCATTTGTATGAAATTTCATTTGCTCAATGGTTTTTTAATTTAAAAATGAATTAGTTTTTATTTACACTTTTTATGTTTTTCTTGTTTATTTTGACGTACATAGATAAG